ACAGCTCTTAATGCTCTTACTCCTTACATGATTATTTACTCATTTATATGCTCTTATGAAAATATAATTTATTGCATATTTCTATACATTCAAATTTCATATTTTTATTAAAAATTAGTTATTCATGAAGCTTAAGGCTCAGGCCTTTATGCCTCACACATCTATAGGTCCTGCCACCTTACCTCACAGTTCATGTTTTTAAAAATTGAACTAAACCAATTTCATATGTTGTCCAGTTAGGATATTTGTATTTTTGTGGAGATTTGTTGGATTCTATTGTATAGCAGCTACTTGTCCATTGGACAGACAACTATATGTGTTCTTTATAATTTATGTATTACATCATACCAAAATAACTCCAACTAATGTGTCAAAGATGAAATAATTTCATTCAGAACTAGAAAATAGATTGCAACAGGGTAGACATAAAATTGATGCAATGCAATCAATAAACTTATAACAGTTGTAGATCCCACCTGCAATAAGCTGAAATAAAGAAAAGAAAAAACAGAAGAGAAGAAGAAGATTGAAGAAGATGGGAGAGAGAAAAGTAAAAGAGAAAGAAGATGGAAGAAAGGGAAGGAAGAAAAGAGTTCCAACCTCTCTTCAGCCCCCAATAATCTTTTTTATTCTTTTGTTGGAAAAAATAAGAACAATTACATGAGTTCCCTTAGTAGGGTGTCCATCACTTAAGACAATAGAAAAAAGAAAAAACCCACTACCTATTAAGACAAGTCATAAACATAACTTAAAGAAAAATAAAGAAACTAAGGCCCATTTGGCCCATTATCTCTACAATAACCTTTTATAAGTCTCAAGGAAGAAGGATAATGATGCATGTTCAATCAGAGGCTGATAAAAAAACTGGTTACCAATGTTAGGAAAGTAATGTAGAACATAACAAAACAAATAAGGGTCTCTAGAATTAGTTAATCCAAATCCCAAAGTATATATTTAGTTAAAATAGGATTGAATGTGAAATTACAAATATGCAACTCTTGGTTAAGAAATAAAATAAATATACAACACAATACTACTGTTGTACAACAATACTGTGGTGAGAAACTTTGGGGTAGCTTACTATGGTACTTGAGTGAAACACCACAACTGAGGACATTATTTAATTTTCCTATTTGCTATGGTAGGATAGGTTGATTACCATATCCAACATTTTTCCCAAATGAACTTCTCTTGTTCTCCATGTTATCCATATCTTCATCATCTTCTTTCATAGTTTCACTTCAGAAGATAACTTGATATAAGAAGAGAGCTTCAGAGGAAGATTGTAGTTTGCATAACACCATGATGATGTCATCATGGTGTCAAGGTCTAGCCATAGTGGAACAAGGTTCAAATTATCAATACACCCAATATGTGCGAACATGTGCATTAGGTGTTATGCACACAACTTTTTTTAGCTTTTTTTTCAAAATTGGTCAGGGGGTCGGTCTTAGACCTGCCTACCCCCTAAAATTGGTCAAAACCACAAACAAGGATCAAATTTTCAATTTGATACACCATGTATCGAGTGTATCAGAAAGCCCCTGATACACCTTATACATGGCTATTGGGGTTTTGACCATTTTCATGGGGTAGGCAGGCCTAAGACCAACCCCTGTTCAATTTTGAAAAGGAAAAGAACTAGAAATAAGTTATGTGAGTTCAAAACACCTAATATGTATGTTTGTGCATATCAGGTGTATCAATACTTTAAACCTTTACCAGAAAAGCCCTATATAAGGTGTATCGGGGGCTTGCCAATACAATATACAATACATCAAATTCAGAGCATAATATATCAAAATTTTGATGCTTGTAGTGGATTGTGATACCCCATGAATCGTTGCTCTGTACATTAGCATTGGACCTCACCACAACAAATTGCTTCTTACTTGTCCAAGAAACAAGATCGCCACTGGCAAGGTAATAATAGCCAAATGTAGACAGCTTGTTATCAATATAACTTACTCAAATTAGTATCTATGAAGGTTTTAAGTTTCGAATAACCATGACCTAATATACAAGATTCCCCCTTTATTGGAGTAACTTTCACTCTTTCAAGTAAGCAAGAATCAATCCTTTTAAAGTTGCTTCAAGACAGGCCACCCTAGAGGCCCTAGACTGATGCATATATTAGCTGACCACATTGAGTTCATATGATATATCTAGCTCTCTGAGACATGAGTATAGTAGAGTCATGTGATCAAAGGCACCAAAGTATGATCCAAGGATAGGTAGAATGGGAGGAAAATGCAGAATAGAGAAGCCTTGGTGCCTTTGATCCACCTTCTCTATGGACAGATCAAAGGCACCAAGGCCAAATGGATATACAATGGCCTTTTATCAGGATTGCTGGGATACTTTTAAATCTAAATCTTTTAGAACTTCTAATGAGTTCTTTTATAGGGGAAAATTAAATCCAAAAATGAATACTACTTTTTTTATATTAATACACAAGAAGCAGAGAGCCAATCATCCCAAAGATTTTAGACCAAATACCTTGGTAATCAATTTATATAAAATCATTGCTAAGGTCTTTTCCTTAAGGCTCAAAAAGGTCCTTCCAATCACCACTGCCAACAAAGGAGCTTTCTTGCAATATTGAGAAATTACACATCAAATTCTAGTTGCCAACGAGTGGTGTAGAAGAGTTTAGAAGATCAAGAAGGAAATGATTTATCAGTGAGCTTGATCTTGAGAAAGTATATGATCTAATCGACTGGTCATTTCTATTGGAGGTAAGAACATTCATGGGTTGGGCTTGGACCCTAGGCCTAAAATATAAGCTTAGGTCTAGTTTGTATGGGCCCAGGCTGAGATGGACCAGACATTGGGCATATGGCATCAAAAAATGAAATTTAACGTTTTATAAAATTTTAAATTATATGATGTATAATATGTGAAACAAAAATATTGCATGGGCCTGAACTAGGCCAAGTTTGGCTTGCCTTTGGGCCTACAACACAAAATAGGGGGTGGGCTTCATTCTAATTATTAGGCCAGGCATGGCTTGGGTTGTCTATCCTTTTATAGATGAAGGAAGGGCCTTCAATGAAATTCCTAAGCAAAGGTTTGCCTAGGTGTGTTTGTTGTCCCGAGTCCCATATTGCTTAGGAATTAGAATGAAGGCCTTGCCTTCATCTAAACAAAGCCAAGTTTGGCTTGCCTTTGGGCCTACAACACAAAATAGGGGGTGGGCTTCATTCTAATTCTTAGGCTGGGCATGGCTTGGGTTGTCTATCCTTTTATAGATGAAGGAAGGGCCTTCAATCAAATTCCTAAGCAAAGGCTTGCCTAGGTGTGTTTGTTGTCCCGAGTCCCATATTGCTTAGGAATTAGAATGAAGGCCTTGCCTTCATCTAAACAAAGCCTTGCCTAATATGAAAATATATACAATATAGATAATAACGTCATATATAATATTAAATATAGTACATAATATGATATTTTATAATGTAAAGACAAACTCGTCTGACATAGCAAGAGAATTTATGAAAGGTAGATGAACGGGAAAATCGAGTCCAAGAAGAAAATGGAGAGAAAATTTTTCGACAAAAAGGGCGTTAGGGAGGAATTATTATGTGGGGTGCACAGTAATGTGACAAACTCAAAGAATACATGCTCCACAAACTTAGGTGTGCAAAAAGGAAAGGGCTTGATTGGAAAAAAAAAAAAAATTCAAGTCCCAAAGTTCTAGGGGCTCGAGGAGAAAAGTTGGGAGGGATGAGTGGGTCTGGGTAATTACGAGATTCGGGAAGGAGGGGAAAGTAACGAAAGAAGTAAAAAGAGGGAGGAAGAAAAAAGAATTTGATTCTTCTGTGCAGTTCACAAAACCAGGGGCATTATTAGAGGAGGTATCAGATCGAAGAGAGGTTAAGGAAATCCCAAAAGAGTTGATCACAAGCTAGTAGAAGCACGTGTTGAACTCGATACTCCTAGTCGAAAGCGTGAAAAATAGAGATGATGATCATCCAAGTGTTGGGTATGCAACAACGATAGAGAAGAAATATCAGATGAACAATTAGAGGCGACAATCCAATACCAAGATTTCCTTGTAATGATTC